CCCGGCCCCGGCCCCTCCGCGCACCCCTGTCCCGGGGATGGCCAGGCAGACAGCCCTCCACCCCAGGTCCCCGGCCTCCGTACAATTCAGAGGCCACCTCTGCGGAGGGGAGGGCCGTGCGAGGCCGTGCGCCCCCGCGGGCACCTGAGGGGAACGGTGAGAACCCGGGTAGGGGCGAACGAATGCAGAGATGGAGTTAAGGGGGAGCCTCTCCTCTGCCTCCAGATTGGGGAGCCGCAGCGAGAAAGACTTCTTTCTTAGGTTTGGCTATTGGAAACCTTCTCCCTGCGGATCCCGTCCAGAGATGACCCCAGATTCTGGGAAGCAGGGAGAAGCCCGACACCCCCATCGCCACCACCCCGTGCAGCCGGGGGGGGGGGGGGCACCCTCTCTGGGGCTTTACTGAAAATGAGTAAGGGCCTTCCGGGTGGAGGTGGGGGAGTGTTTGTTACCCTTTCTTTTAACTCTTGAGAGTTCCAGGATCTTATCTTGTTTGGGGCTCACAACCCATACTTTCAGGCAGAGTTCCTAGCTGCTTTCACAAACGTGGAAAAAGTGAGGTCCCGGAGTCTTGGAATTTACCCGAGGCTGAAGAATGATCTAGGGGCATGAGGTCCAAGTTCCTAGCTCACTACTTGGACCCTCTCCTGAGACCTGTGGAAGGCACATGGGCGCACACACAGAGACAGAGAATGGCTTATATATGGGGTGTTACAAGAGAAAAAAAATGGGCATAAACATAGGTTGTGTTCATCATTGCCAAGTTCATGCTACTGAACTACTAGGAACCCAGATGGTTGGGCTATTTCCTAATTAACAAATAACTATGCAGCCCCCACTGGTACACAGACCCTGTGTCCTTGAGGCAGGGCCTTAAGGTGAGTGAATCCACTCTCTGACTCAAGACTCCTGAGTGGGGTTGGGGTGGGTGGGGGGTAGGCAGTGGAGCGGACAGCCAACAACCAAGAAACAAAAATACAGATGGAGGTAACTTCCAGAAGGGAGAAAATCCACTGGAGGGAGTAGTTGGGATAGGGAATGGTCTGGAGAGATCTCTGGGTGGGGCTGACTTTAGAGCTGGACTGGAAGGTTGAGGGGTGCCACCACTGGGCAAACAACTTGGGCAGGGCCAGTGGGCACAGGCCCCAGTGGCTTCCTGTGTGCTGCCCTCTTCAGGTGCCAGGTGCTTTGACCCAATGTCAAAGCCAGATGAGCTGACCAGACAGGGGGGAAGTTTAACCAGAGGATGCACCAAAATGCAATGTCAAGGTGGGAAGCTCTGGACTGATTTTTCTTCTTGTTCTGTCTGCCAAGTTTCTCACCATGAGCACATATTTTTTATCATCAGGCAGAAGACCAGCAAATTCTTTTTTAACCTCTCAAGACCCTTTCCAAGAGTCCCCAGCCTGTCCCAGCTCTCCTCATCTGCGGCTCTGGAAGCCCAGTGGAGGCCCACGGAGCCAATGGACACTCACGGGTGCCTAGGCGCATGCCTCCCGGATTCGAGGCTGGAGCTGCTTTCTCCCCGACCGGGTTTGAGAGCCTGTGTTCATTTCACACTCCAGGGAGCAAGGTCTGCTTCTGTGTCCTCCGGAGCTGGGTGCTAGTAGCCAGGCACTTAATTTTGCCCCATCTGCTAGCTACCTCCCATTTTTACACTTCAATTTATTTTCCATAATTGCTATGGAGGGGGGAGTTCGGCTGAAAATCGTTTTCTTTACAAAGCAAAGAGCCAAGAGAATCAGACTCTCTCCATCCAGAGGCGGGTCTCGGGGAACAGAAGGCTTTAAACAACGAGGTGGGGATGTTAAGCTGCAGGGATGGGCCATTTGTCACGACACAAAGATGTGAATGGAAGTCTGCATCATAGAGGAGCATTTGTGTGAGGAACACTGTGTAGGCAGTAACAACTCCCTGGCAGGGAGGGGCCGAGATCGCCACTGATTGAGCACCAACTGTGTACTAGATGTCGGTGCAGAGAAATTCTTTGTACCAAGGTGCAGAGAATTTTAGGTGGTTTTCAAGACGGAGTAGGACCCGTCTAAGCACACTAACCGGCACTAAGCTCGAGGCTGGCCCCCAACAGGTGCTTGAATATTCACTGAGCTTGTGTGTCAATATCACCCCTCTTTCCTTCATTCTCTCTGGACCCTGGCCCTCCCTGATTGGTCCCTGTGCCGCCTTCTTGCCCATCAATCCTGGTTTTGCACTTTTCTACCCAGGATGTGGGATTGCAGGGTCTGTCCACACCCCAGTCACCTGCAGGCCTTGGCTCACTCTGTTCCCTTTGAAATGCCCTTGCCCTCCCCTGCTCTGTACTCCTGCTTTACCTAGCACACCACTGCTAACTCATGTTCATCTCAAGAGAACCTCCTCCAAACCCCCAACGCCCAGCTGAGTGCCCACCTCCTATAATTCCCATAATATATTCAGCACAATCTCATAATATCCTATGAACCCCTATCTTAAGATGTCACATCATGATTATGTTTACTTGGTGGTTTCCCCACGTAAGCTGTGTCGTTGAGAACAGGGGCTCAGTCTCATTAATTTCTCTGTCTGAGCACTTAGCACACTGCCTGGCACCAAATGAGGTCTCATGTTGAGTGGATGGATGGATGGATGATCCAGTATAGGCCTGAACTCACAAAGCAAAGACCAAATGACAAATAGTTGATCCCCATGTCCTGGGCTCAAGTCAACTTCTGCAGAGGCAGTAAAAAAAAATATTCACATACCGGCAGCGGGTAAAGCACACATTCCCGGGCCCCAGGCAAATACCACACTGTACCTTCCTTGGGTGTGTACAATTTCCTGTATCTGGAGCACCAGCTGGGAGAGAAGGTCATGTGACATCCATGGGCATTGACGTTATTTGCCTCTTACCTGAATTAACAGTTCTATTTTTCTTTCGCCTTTTTATTTTGGGGAAGGAAAAGTACTCTGCCTGAAGGCCTGGCTTCCCGGGAGTTTCCAGAAACTGATTTTCTAGAAATTGCCCAATGCCGCTAGAATCTATGCCATTGTTTAAAACTGACTTCTGCCAAGGGAAAGGATGTGGAGTCAGAGAATCGCAAAGAATCCCTGGATAGGACCTCAGAGATCAAGTCCAACCTCCCTCCCTCTGTAAGGACTTTTTTTTATTTTTTATTTTTGTAATTATTTATTTTTGGGGGGGAGAGAGAGAGAGGCAGAACGTGAGTGGGGGAGGGGCAGAGAGAGGGAGACACAGAATCCCAAGCAGGCTCCAGGCTCTGAGCTGTCAGCACAGAGCCCGACGAGGAGCTCATACTCACAAACTGTGAGATCATGACCTGAGCTGAAGTTGGATGCTTAGCCGACTGAGCCGCCCAGGCGCCCCCAGGACCTCTAAAACATCTGGCCCAGGGATCTTCCTGCTTCTGTTAATGGCGATGGATAACTTCTGGCAGATAATCTGGACAGAGGGTTTGCGCATCCACATCTCACACCCCCTTTGGGAAGGATTAAGAACGACAAAGATAACCGCAGTGGACCCCCCCAACCCCAGCCACTTGCAGGAGAGGAGTGTGATGGGGCTCCAGCCGGTGGGAAGCTGCCTTCTCTGGTCGTGGTCGTGACCCGTTACACGTGCACAGCACTGTGGGTTTGGATGGCCCCTCTGCGGCCAGGGCTCAGCTGGTCTCCACAGTGACCTCCTGAGGCCAATCGAGCAGGGTCATTTTTAGGTGGTGCTTAAAGCGGCCCAGACGCCATCCCAAGGTCACAGGGTAGGGCAAAAGCACACTTTGAACTATACTTCTCACGGCCTGCCCACATCACCCACATGCGACTGGACTTGGCCTGTGGACCAGACGAACACTTAGCAATTTGGTATTAGTCACGTATACTTAGGTATTGTCGTGTTTATGTGACATTTTTGAAAAGATTTCGCCGTTGTAGGAAACCTGTTGGGAATTTCAAGTTAATTTCAAGTAAGTCCAGTTAAGAGGCTATAGTGGGTCCTAGATAGATTAACCAATGGTGATTCTTCAAAAAGCCCAAGAATACTTCCTGGGCAGAGGGTCTGCATTATGATGTCACAAGGCTTCCCTGTAGCATGAAGACCGGCCCCGCACCCCCCCCCCCCCGCCCCCGCAGCCTCATTTATTCATTGAACAAACACTGGTTGAATGACTACCCATGCCCTGGCCCCATACTAGGACCCAACAGTGGACAAACCCCAGAATCTGCCTGTGAATCCCTGCTCAGGGGTTTGGACTTTGTTGTCAGGGCAGAGAGGAGCCTTTGGAGGACAAAACTGGGTCAGATTGGCTCTTTAGTTGTGGTGTGGAGGAAGAGTGGGAGGTGGAGGCTAGGAGCTCGGGACCCTGTTGGTCTCAGGGACACGGGGGTAAGATGGCAGTAACCCACAGGGGTGCAGCGGCTGTAGAGACAGATTCTCCGCTGTTCAAGACGGTGGAGTTGACCGTACCTGTGGCTGGCTTAGGAATATTGTGGCGTCTGCTTCTAGTATTTGCACATGTCTGTTACACCTACATTGTGCAAATTCCTCAGGAAGGCCTTGTAAGCAGGGCCGCCCAGTTCATCTTTGTATTTCCAGGGCCCAACACGGCGCTGGACGGTCCTCAGTATTAGTGGTGTGTGTGACTCAACATGTTCTATTTAAACTTCACCCACCAGTAATTATTTTTTTTTTGTTATTTAAAAAAATATTGTTTTTACATTTATTTATTTTTGAGAGACAGAGAGAGACAGAGCACAAGTAGGGGAGGGGCAGAGAGAGGGGGAGACTCAGAATCCAAAACAAGCTCCAAGCTCTGAGCTGTCAGCACAGAGCCCGACGCGGGGCTTGAACTCACAAACCATGAGATCGTGACCTGAGCCCAAGTCGGATGCTCAACCGACGGAGCCACCCAAGCGCCCCACCAACCAGTAATTATTAAAACTCTTTGAGCCCCGGGCTCCTCAGAAGAGTCAGGGTCTCCTCCATGCCTTAGGAGCGCCAGCTCTCTGCCAATTTTTTTTTCCTGCTGACTCTTTCCCAATGTTTTCTGTCTGCCTCCAGGAATCCCGTAGGACATGATGCAAAGGCTGGTGACAGAGAGAGATGCTGAGAAGCAGAAGGAATCAGGCTCGAGCAAAAAGGACGGAAGATACGTGGTGTGGTGGACAGTGGGCAGATGGTAATGGTCTGAGCTGTGTGACCTCAGGCACGTTCTTAACCTCTCTGGGCCTCTGTGCTTTTATCTGTAAGATAAAAGAGTTCCTGCCTGGCAGGGTGGCTGTGAGATCAAAGACACATATATAGAGAAGAGATGCTCCGGTGAGACTTCAGCAAGATTCAGATCATTTCTATGGCATAAAATGAACCACACTCAGAAGAAAAATTGTCCCTCAACTTGGAAGATTACCTATAATGTAAAATATTAATGTGTTCTCTGGGATTTTATTAATTTTTTTCTGGTATGTGTAGGTGTTGATGGGTGGTTTAAAAAAAAAAATCTGCTTCCCTAAGTAGACAGCACCGGATGTCCCAATTTCCACAAATAAAACCCTTCATTTCTTCCAGGTTTGAATAGTCAAAGGCTGCTTCCCTAGAGACAGTGCTGCTAATTTTTTTTTTTTTTTAGACATTAGAACACTATTTAAGGAGAGTATATTTTCCAGTAAAGCAAATGATGAAAACCTTTTCCCCGGCGATGTGGGAGATGTTGGCAATATCGAGAGGTGGGGAGAGACAGGATGCTGTGGACCCAGCAAAAACACCCTCTATTGTTGTTTGCAACAACATTGCAGAAATATATATATATATATATATATATATATATATATATATAATTTTTTAACATGTTGGAATCTAAAGCAAACTTTGTTGATGATAATCCCAAGAAGGGTGATTTTAAAAGCCCAAACTTGGTGCGAATAGAATCCCTGGGCCAGCTCCTCCAGCCTTCCCTGCCAGCACAGGCAAGCCCATTTCAACAAAGTTACTGTGTATCTCTTGTCTGCTGTGCAGCTAACAGCTACTAAGAGCTCACTATTTGCCAAACATTGAGTCCAGTGCTTTGCATTATCTCATTTAATCCTTTGAAGGAGGTACTATTGCCGTCTTGATTTTATTGATGGAAACTAAGGACCAAAAGAAGTTCGGTAGCATCCCCAAGGTCACACAGGTCGTAGGTTAACAGAGACGAGACTTGACCTCAAATATTATGCAGAAACCGAGTCTGATCTTTCTGCTCTGTACCCTTTTGGAACCTGCCCAGGCAACTAAGTGGAACCATTCATATTAGGGAGTCACTGGAAAATAAATCCAGCCAACTGTTAGCCTTATGGAAACAAGATGACCGGAGGCACCTGTCCCCTAATAGGTCAGGAACAAAAATACTCGCTCCCTTGCCCTCTGTGGGGACATTTCTTAGGTTTATGTGAAATGCTGGCAGGCATTTCCACGGCTGACCCCTGTACATCTCAAATGGCAACTTATCTTTGTAAAGAACCCTCAGCGTGGCTCTGCTAGAAAAGTATGTATTTCGTGCTGTGCAAATGGATTTTAACACGCAGAGTCCAAGGAGAAGGGGCAAAAGTCTGTATCCAAGCCAGAAGCAAGTCCTGTCAAGTTCATGCGATCTCCCCAAGTCCATCCTTGGTAGCTAGCGTCAAATGTTAACTTTCCTATGTCCACGGCACTCTGCAGGGTCTCACTTCTCCCCTAAAGCACCCCGAGCCCCGTTCAGTCCACCTGCTCCCTTCAGTTACTCAAAAGAATTGCTCTAATAGGCAAGCCATTCTATTGCTGTTCTATACCGAGCACAAATGCATACATATTCCTCAAAATGTGTGTTCAAAAGATTCACAGCACCTTTACTCTTACTAGCTACAATAACCCAAATGTCCACCAGGAGAAGAGTGGATGGATAATAGCATTCATCAACGAAGATGAGAGAGCAACACAGATGAGTCTCAAAAATCGTGATGTGGAGCAGAAGCCAGGCACAGAAGAAGGCACCCTGTAGGATCCCACTGGTCAAGAGTTAAAAAACAGATGGTGCCTGGGTGGCTCAGTCAGTTAAGTGGCCGACTTTGGCTCAGGTCATGATCTCACGGTCCGTGAGCCCGAGCCCCGCGTCGGGCTCTGTGCTGACAGCTCGGAGCCTGGAGCCTGCTTCAGATTCTGTCTCCCTCTCTCTGTCCCTCCCCTGCTCATGCTCTGCCTGTGTCTCTCTCTCTCACAAATAAAACACTACAAAAAAAAAAAAGTTAAGAACCCAGTAAGAAGTTCAAAACCACTTCCCTCTCCGTTGATAGAAGTCAGGGTAGTGGTCAGGCTGGGAGGGAGGTGGTGCGGACAAAGGGCGTAAGGGGGCCCTCTGGGGTGCAGGGCATGTTTTGTTTCTTATATGGGTCTGGTTACCCTGTGTTTATGCATTACGTGACACTTCACCAACTGGTGCATTTTCCTGCGTATGTTCAACAAACTGTTAAAAAATAAACGCACAGCTCTGCCTCCTGCCAAACGGCACACCCTCTTGGCTCCACCTGGAATTCTCTACCCTCCCTTCGCCTCTCCCTGGTGAATTCCTGCCTGTTGTTCAGATGTAGCTCAGATCTTCCTTCACTGGGGATTCCTTTTCCGGTTGTATCAGTCAGTCTTGGCTGCGTAACAAATCACTTGAAAATGTAGCGACTTCTAGCAATCGTCACGAATTAGCTCATGACTCTATGGTCGCCAGTCGGGGTGGGTCTGGTGCTGGTCTCACCTGGACTCCTGTGTCTGCACCTTGGCTGGGCGGGAAGCTCTGGGATGGGCTCATTTGTGTGGCAGCTGGCATACTCTTGGTGGGGGCGCCTCAGTCCTCCTCAGTGTGGCCTCTCCAGCAGGCTGGCTGGGCTTGTCACATCACGGTCTCAGGATTCCAAGGGCCACTAAAGAGGGCCAGCCTCGATGCAGAAGCTCCTCTTAAGCCTCTGCTTGTGTCACACTTGCTACTGTCCACTGGCCAAAGCAAGTACAGAGCCAAGCTCAGAGTCAGGAGCGAAAGAAATAAACTCCACCTCTGGATAGGAGGCATTATTGTGGGTATGGCTTCCAAACAATCCACCAGTGCTGCCCTCCTCAATCCTTCCCAGAGAACAGCTTCCCTCTTAGCACCCCCTGACACTTCCCCGTATGGCACCCCCCCGCCCCCTGTAACCCACTCTCTGCGGAGCGGGATGTTCATTATCTTCGTCCCTCGCTTTCCTGCGACTCACGTGCAGCTCATGCCCAGAACGGTGGCCGGGATGTGATGGGTACCACGAAATATTTGGTGAAGAAAGTCAAAAGAAGAGGAGAGAAAAAGAAAGGGAGGGAGGGAGGGAAAAGAAGGAAAGTGGAAGAAGCCCTGGAAAAATGGAGGCACTTCTTTGGCAGGGGACAGGCTGGACCATCTCCAGGAGGTGAGGCCCCCACACATTCCCCCCACTCCCCATTCGTTATTCTCATCTTGGCTTTTGCATCTTGGCTGCTCTTCCCACTGGGCTTCCCTCCCACCATCTTTCTTCTGTTTGCTCAGCCCTTGGATCCTTCAGTGGGCAGCCCAAAGTCCTCCCTTCCCACCCCAGCAAACTTCCCTCCATCCTAGATATCTGCACGGATATCTGCATGGCCCAAGGGGTCCCCGGCATTCATGGCCCACAGTGTGTCATGAACACATGCCCCTCGCAATTTTCAGTTGAACACCCCACTGGGTGAGTATGGGTGCATTAGTTAACTTTAACCTACACCCTAGGGGCTGGTGTGTGAAGTAACACTATCATGAATTCCCTGGGACAGTACAGCGACCTTCAAATATGGCTTTGCTAAATTGGCACCAAAGGCTCTTGGCTAGTTAGCACGGGAGATGTTGCAAATGCTTTCTCATCGGTAAAATGAGCTGTGTGCAAGAAATGTGGTCTGCGACCAAGGCCACACCAGCCCTTCCTCTCTCTGTGAACCAAGTTCAAGGATCCTGTAAGCCCAGTGGCCTCACACCCTTCAGCGGAGCGCTCAGGGCACGGCTCCAACCTGGCCCTTGTCACCGCTGAATGGGGCCTCTGCGACCACAAGAAACCCGGGGAGCCTCTCTTCCTTTGGGGTCCCACCTTCACTGGGGTCCTTGCCTTGAAGCAGGCTTCGCCTTCGGGGTGCTTATCAGATGCCTTGAAGGACAGTGAGGCGTCCTCGCCGCATGCCTACGAGGTGCCAGGAACAGTTCACGAAGCCTTTCCTGTATCACCTTGTTGAAAACTTCCCACGGTAAGAGGGTAAATAAACTGTGGTACACCCGCACAACGGAATAGTGTTCCACGCAAAAGAAAAACCAGGGAAAGTGGTAGCAAGTTGAAAAAGCCACAGGGGAGACTTAAACGCATATTACTAAGTGAAAGATGCCAATCTGAAAACAGTGCCTACTGTAGGTTGCAACTATGGAACATTCTGGAAAGGGCAGAAGTAGGTAGACGTTTAAAAAGATGAGCCGTTGCCAAGGGTTAGGGGTGGCGAGGGATGAATAGAGCACAGAGGACGGTCCGGAGAGTGGAATCACTCTGTAGGCCTCTGTGATGGTGGATACGTGTCATTATACATCTGTCAAAGCGCAGAATGTGCCCGGATGTAAAGTATAGACACTGGGTAACAGACAACATGTGTCAACGCAGTTTCACCGAGGCTAACAAATGCACCACCAATGCTGGGGGATGTTGACTGTGGGGGAGGCTGTGTGTGTGTGTGTGTGTGTGTGTGTGTGTGTGAGGGTGGAGGACTTACTGGAAATCTCTATTTTCTGCTTAATTTTGCTGTGAACCTAAAACGCTAAAAAATTAAGTCTATATTCTTTTTTAAAACCTCACTGGGACCCTATGGCCCCATTTCCCAGAGTGGGTACGTCCCTTCACCAAGGCCTTGCAGGCAGGAAGTGATGCATCTGGGATTTGAGCCCAGGTTGTGTTGTCTGATTGGAGAACCTGAGCTGCGTTCCTTCCGGCAGCTGGGGACTGGAGGCCAGCGGGCAAACGGGCAGAGGTGGCTGAGGTCATCAGAAGGGGCCCACGAATGTCCTTCCCTTGCTTTGTCCCCTGTCTGGCTCCTGCTCTGGACCAGGCCCTCCAGCCTTGCCTCTCCACCCCCCGCACCACCAAGCACCTGCTCCCGAGATCACCAGGTGGTTTCACGCTCAACATCCTTGCTCACCTGGCTGGCCCTCTGCGGCCCTTCCCTCCCCCTCGGCCACCACCCTCCAGGCAAACCCTCACTTCTCACGGCGCCACTCAGACCTCCCCACCCCTACAAAGTCCGTGAGACTGGACAGCCTATGCCCTTTACGACAGACTAACCTGAGGGCTATCCTCGCTTTGTCTCGCTTTGCTGTGTGCCCTTGAACAAGTGTCTTAACCTCTCTGAAACCTCAGTTTCCCTCACCCACAC